GAAAGGTGAGAGACTATTTTTCTCCTTCCTTTACACTACCACAGAAGAATGGATAGCTGGGAGGAGATTTGAAATCTTAAGCCATAACAATTTGCATTTCTAAGGCAGGGAACATGAAATTTTACTATGTCGCTGGTAAGTTGCTCAAGTTCTTTAAAGTTGATGAAATAGAAATTGTATAAATCAATTACTTAAATTACTTAAACATAGCAAAGGAAATAGGACTGCTGGTATATATGTGTTTGCATATTATTGCAATGCCTAAGCAAATGGAATATGTGGATGACCTTGGGGAATAAGAGGAAGATATGATGCCTAGGAAACAATGAGATGAGAGGAAGGAGTTCCCAGTGGCTTAACAATCAGAAAAAGAAACTTAGGAAGGACCCACCCTAATGGATCAAGCAGTTAAGAGAGATAATGGGAAGTTTGTACTTGCAGACTTGCAATAATCTGTTAATGTAGTCTTACAATAAAGTAGAATTAATTCATGTAGGTGGGTCTTCTATCTGGTTTACCTGAAAAGGTAGACAGCAGATGGCAGCATCTGGTTGACCTTTTCAGCTCAGAAATAAGGAAGATTAGCCTTGGTTGGTGTTTGGATGTGACATATCTGGGGAATATTAGGGTTGTAGACTAAACTGAGGGTGTTTTTTTTTAATCCCAGAAGTGCAGCTTGAAGGTAAATTTACCTTTATTGCACTTGGTGGACATCTGAGGAAGCAATGGCGGATTAAAGATAAGTTTTGTGAGAGTGGAATAAGTGGTCATGGTAATATAAGGAATCAGTGAATAGATCAGATCCTCAGAACTTTTTCCAGGAAAAGGAGGGGGCTAGCATCACCCACAGTTTTGCTCCATGCAGAGAGTCTGCGCACAAAGAGATAATAGTGACCACAAGCAAGTTAACTCTGGGAGCTAATAAAAAAAATTGTTGAATCTAAGCCATTGAAATTCAGTATCTTCCAACTGAAACTTCTTCTCTTAACTACTTTAAAAAAAATTGCTTATTATTTATCCCAAAGATGCTGTTCAAAATGGCAACTGGAGTTTCTTTTTTTTTTCCTTGAAAACGTTTCACTTCTCATCCAAGAAGCTTCTTTAGTTCATTAGCCTCTTCATGCTTATTAATTATTTTATGGATGTTAAGAACCTTCTCAAAGGCATGTTTTATCATACCAGGAAAATGTCCTACTCTGGATCAAATATGTTTTAAGCAAGTTTAAGTATTACTAAGAACAACTTTGATTGTTGAAAAACAGCAAAAGGTATACTAGAATGTTGATTTTGGAAAGTTAAAGGGCTAGATGGACTTGAAAGAGTATGTCCTGCGGAATGTTTAACATTTTATAAAAGAATATATGAAGACCTTGAAATTTAAAAAATTCTCCTATGGGAAAGTTTTGTTGATTGGAAAAGAAATATGATAAGAGACTTTGAAGTTGACCAGACAGCACTAAGGCTTACAATTAAAGGGGAAGAGACCATTGATAAAAGGAACAGTGCTATTTGACTAAAGAAGAAATTAATATTGTTTGAAATAATGTACTCAGAAATTGCTTACAAGATTGCATAATACGATAAAAACAAATTTAACAGACAATATAAAAGAACAGATTTTACTGGATAAAACAGACTAAGGTTGATTTGAATGTGGATTTGAAAATGGATTTTAAAAAAATCCTAGACTACAAGAGTGATAAAGAAGAAGATACTGTGGATTTAAAATGGATTTTGAAATGTCAGACTACAGGAATTATATGGAAAAAGATGCTACAATGTATTTGCATTTGAACTGGCTGATGTCTTAATAACTAAATAAAATGTACAGATAATATATATGATGAATGATTTGGAAAGCCATCTTATCTTGAATTTACAAATGGGATACATTAAACTACTAAAGTTCTTCCTGAAAAGAGACAAAGAAAAATAATAAGAAATCAATTTGTGGAACATTTGACAGGATTACAGATCAAGCTTTTAAGAATTAAACAGAAGAAATATAAAGTAAACTTATTTGTCTAGGTTTAAAACAAATGTAAATGTAAAATAGCTACTAATGGAATTTGATTAGGACTGAATGACAAGGTTTTAAAGATCTGTTTATAAATGGGAAGAGGTTTCTTTTGTTTTATTTCTTAGACAAAGTGATAAGTTGAAATACAAACTGGATTTGTGTGTGTGTGTGTGCGCGCCATCTTCAGGCTGGTGCTTTCGGCTTCATGCTTGTGCGAGCAAAGCGTGATCGGAGCTGCCGTCTCTCTATAAATACTGGTGGGGAGGTTGGCTGTGTTGTTATTTCTTGATTGGTTGATGGAGTTGATGTTTGTAGATTGGTTGGCTTTTTCGTAAGAACATGTGTGGCTGAGGTATTGGCTGTGTGTCTATCAGCCTCCTGTATTGTAACGACCTGGGTAACGGGCTGTGTGATTACCTTCTGAGTTCTATTCTTGTGACATCCTGGGTCTTGTGCTGTAATCTCCTGGGTTGTTGGCTGTGTTGTAACATCCTGAGGTTTTGTGGTGTAACCTCCTGAGTTTCGTGAAGTGATGTCCTGAGCGGGTGGCTGTGATGTGACGTTCCGGGTTTTGGTTTGGCTCCGAGTTTGAGGCTCGGCTATGTGTTCATGGCATGTGTCAGTTTGCTTGGTTTGGGGGTCAGGAGGTGTGGCAGCTGGTGATGCAGCCATGGTCTGGTTTCTGGACAGTGGTTGCCTTTCGTCTATGGGATGGGTTTGGGTTTGAGTCTGGTGAGGGAGATTGGTAGTGGCGTCATGTGTTGTTTTGGGTCCGGTGTTGGTTTTCGTGGATGGGACTTGTTTGTTGATAAGGGCTAGTTTCCAGATGTCTGGTAGGCGGGAGGTGTCATCCTATTTATTCATGTTATGGGGGTGTTTCTCTATTTCGATGGCTTCCCTGATTATTCTCTTGTTGAAGTGTTCGTATTGAAGATTAATTTGATTCCCTCAAAATTAATTTCATGTCTGTGGCTTTAAGGTGCTGGAAAAGGGAAGAAGTATTTTCTTCCTTTCTGACTGCGTTCTTGTGTTCTGCGATGCTGCGATATTTGCTTCATGATATTTGCTGCGATGTTGGCTATTTTTTGGTCAGTGTCAAACCCTAACAACACAGCAAACCTCCCCACCAGTATTTATAGAGAGACGGCAGCTCCGATTATGCTTTGCTCGCACAAGTACGAAGCCAAAAACACCAGCCTGAAGATGGCGAGTGGGACCTCGTCAAAATGTCGCCAAGATACTTTCAATCTTACACGGGAAAAGACCTGAACACGCCAAGACCTGCATACCTGTACCCGTGAAAATCTACGAATATCTATCTATCTATCTATCTATCTATCTATCTATCTATCTATCTATCTATC